GAGCTGTATAGTTGTGGGCATGTGACCCATTCCTTTATATAGCAACCATGCGGGGAGATGAGACCTTTACCCTTCTTCTCATCTCATGCCCCGCATAGGCAAGTGTATATTATCTTTCCTTTTACTATACATCTCATGCCCCACATAGTGTGAGGACAGGTTAGATGGGGGTTGAGGTCAGGGAGCCTCCGAGTCCGAGGCCGGGCCCTGACACCTCTGGAAAAATTGGAACTACTCCATAATCTAAATCGCCTACCCGCTTTTTGCTCTTATGGTCTAGCTTAACCAGCACACAAGCAGGTAAGTGCTGTAGCTTCACTTGGACCATGTTGTCTGGTGGAGTTTGTTTGTTCGCGTTGTAGGAGAAATAACGGTCACACTAGGGAAACCCATTATGGAAATATGCCAGATAAATCACAAAACCTCATACAACAAGTAGATATAAGAAAACTGAAGGACACGAATTTTTACGAATTTTTACGAATTATTATGACTATACGTGATAAATCGAAAGAAAGAAAAATAGCAAAAATACTTCAAGCTTACCATCAACAAGACGGAATTCCCGGGGGAATTTATAGCAAATATTAAAACAAGAATTAGGACAATCGACCAAGATTTGACTATAAAAACAATCAGAGAACCTCCATGGAAACTACTTTCCCACGTCCGCACGCATAGCCAAGGATGGAAGTACCACGGAACAAGGATTCCTCAGGAACTAATGCAAAATTCAAAGTCGTATTTATAATAGGAAATGTAGATGTCCCCCAAACGGACCCAATGAGAGTAATTACAGGGGAAACTACCCATAAACGACGGAGATATGACTAAAACTCCTGCAAAATGAGGACAATATCTAAAAGGCAAGCGCGAAAATTAACCAGTAACGACCGAGACAAGCTTGATAGGCCATTAGAAAGGAAGGGATCTAATCTTAATCCTCCCAAATTTTCATAATAAAAGGATCATGCGTTAATAAGATATCCAATAACGGGAATAGCGACATCGAAAGTCCGAGCTCAGGGAAAAGACGATGTTTGCGTAGGATCCATAATTAAAACATACAACGAAATTTACACGGAAATTATTAAAAATGGGGAACTATAGTTATGCAAATTTTCAGCCCAAACGGTCCAGCCGTTGTGAAGTTATACCCATGACGGGAATATAGAAATCCGCATCATGTGTAATGACACGTGAGGGTGGCGATGCGCAGGGAACCGGCCGTCGGAACCGAGATCCGCACTTCGGCAGATCGCGAAGACCAATTTCCGTCCAAATAAGGAAGAGCCCGGTCAAAACAAAGCACGGAAAGTGCAAAACAACCTTAGATCATGAGGGAAAAATCTGAAATAAATCACAGAAGCCCATATGAAAGAAATAAAAACCCATGCATATCATAAATCCCGAACAATTAAACGGAAACGGCGCCCGCATACGAACAACTATGGGAATGACGCACGTGATTACCGAATGTGCGCACGAACTTTTGCTAACTCAACGAATACCAGGAAATAGGACACAACCTTAGTACCATTGGAAAGGTGGGAATAAATGAAAATTTATGATACCAAAAACGTGAGAAAACATCCAGAAATGAATGAGATATAGGGACATGAAGTTAGAAACCTGAAAACGCGCGGGAAAACAGCTTCAAGAGGTCCAGAGTCCTAAATAAAATACATAAAAATATGATATCTTCAAGGACGACCTACTATAACAACGAACAATACATATGGAGGATTAGGATGTGATAATACAAAGGGGAATCAGGGAATATGAATGAAATTCACGAAAACCACTAAACTACGATGGACCATGGTGGGAATTTTAGGGAACGATATTCTAATGAGGTGGAGAGCTATAACACATTCGTTTGAGTAATTCTTGACTACTAGCAACTTTTTCTTTCAGTTTTAAACCTGAATAATTCACTCATTTACCATTTCAGTCTCATTTTAACTAAATGTCACTAAATAAAAATGGAATAAATCAGCTGAAGGTCTCAGCACAGCCGTACGCATAGTAATGCGAAGTTTGAATTCAGAATCATCGAGTCATAGCAAATTTAATGGTATATATAGGGAATTTGAAATAGGTAACTGCAGCAAATGCAGTGCAGCCAAGTTCTAATTAACCATTAAAATAGCTTAGGCGAGGGAGGACAATAAGGATTCTAGGCGCAGTCTGACTGCAGTAGAACCGCAGTTCAGCGCAGCAAAAGTGCAGTAGAACTATAGCGTGAAAAAGGAAGGCGACCCAAGGAGTATAAAAGGGAGACCCTTTCTGCGACTTTTCGCCCCCCTTAGAGAAGTAAGAAAATAGAGTATTATTTTTCTCAAGCATTTCTGGTTGTCACTCCAGTGCGAAAAAGTGATATACAGTTAAGATTGCCACTGTAGTAAAAGGCAGCAATTAAGGAGAGAAATATTAAGTAGATATTTCAACAGGAGAGCTGGTTAACACTCCAGATTTCAAAGTGTAAACACAAAACAGTTATCTTGCTACTGTTAAAAAAAGCAATAAAATAAGGCAAAAATAAAATAAACCCAAGGGACACTCCAGATACAATCCAAATTCATTAACTGAATAGAATCTTTGAAACTTCACCAAGTAGAAGATTAAATTCAAGTTTAAATCCAAATTAAACAACGCTACACAGAATTACACCTAGACAAATTAATAAATTCCAATAAAGAAACAGCTCCGCAGGGCTCGGTTTATCTGTAAGTCAATTCCCAGGAACTTTAAAACTAACCCATAAAAATAGAATTAGCCAAAACACTCGGATTGGTACTATATTTACAATAAATAACACTAGTACACTTCCCCATCCTAACTAAAGAACCAGGGAACAGCTTGGTGGTGGTCTCGTTTGAACCTCCCAACTGACCTTCCTTCATTCTCTCCTTCAGCGTTCAACATGATCTCCACTACCTCTCCTCGTGAGCCATTCGCAATGTTCCTGTCAGTGTCAATGTTTGTGGTGACCATTACTTTCGCTCCTATTGCGATTCCGATTTCCTCTGGAAGTTTTGATCCATCGTTCTTCTTCTCCCCCTTGTTGCTGGGCTGCATGGCATATGCCCACCTTTCTGTGAGTCCCAGTGGCCTGCCCTTGATCGAATCCTCTGCTCCACATATGAAAAGTGGCACCTTCACTCGTCGGCAGTGTTCCTCCATTGCTGCCTTGTTCCATTCCACCCGTACCCCATGACGCGGCATGACCAGGCTAGCACGGCTCCATGGAGGACTGTTAAAATCCGTACATGGACATGCCTTCGATGAAAGCACTAGCGCCTTCAACATGTCAATGTGTTCTTGTGTACACATTCCATGATGTGCGTGGTGAAGTAAGTCGATCCATTTTTCATCGGTGACTCGCATCTGCTCCTTCAGGATGACGACGGTATCGAATTTCTGATATAGTACTGATCCCAGTGCCTCTTCACGATTATCGCCAGCTCCTGAGGGCCAGTATAGCGTCGCCCATGGGCCTCCCATCACAGGGGGGAACTGATGAAAGTCTCCACAAAGAATCACATTCAGGCCACTGAATGGCTGTTCCTGTTGTTCTCCCTTTACTTCCATCATGATCAGACCGAGGATAGTTGATAGCCTTGCAAGGAAGCTTCGGGAAATCATTGAGCATTCATCAATGATGAGATATCGCCGGGTCAACCACCACTTTGATTGATTTCGAAGTTGCTCTGCATTTGGAAGCTGGTCACTCCGAGGCATGCTAACCAATGTGTGTAGTGTGCGACCCCCAATATGACAGGCTGCAATGCCGGTATATGCCCCCTTCGCCAGCATACTCACTTTTCCGTGTGTTGAAAGAGGGCTCGTGGCTCTCGATGCCGACTAAGCTCATGGGGGCCAAACTCTCCAAAACTCCTACTTTCTCTTTAGACTTTACTTGACTCTCGATCCTTAACTCCGCGGTGGGTTCTCCGGGATTTCCGCAAGGTCCGGGCTCAGTGTCCACTACTCACTCGTTGTGAGCTAGATCACTGCCCTTATTCCTACTGTTGGAATTCCACTCACTCACACCCACTCTAGCGCATCCTAGCACCTTAGAGAATTTTTGGGGAGGGGAGAACTTCTTTTCCAAAATCTGGTATGTACAGGATATAAGGAACAATTATTTTTAGAATAATTGATGTGGAATATTGATGCCATATGGCACCTGCATACCTTATTAGGCGAAATAATAAAATGGGTAACAGTATCAATAAAAGAATATCAATCAATAACTGAAATGATGGCAAAATATGAAAATAAAAGAAAATAAGCGATTTCTCAACGGATGTACGGAATTAAGAACCGAAATTGGAAATGCAGCCGGAGATAACTCTCACACAGCCAATGAGCATTTTTACCGATTTATTAGACGCTGTGGGAACGAGTGAGGCTGGAATTCTGGGTTGCCGCTTGAGATTCCCACGCCCGCACATGCCCGTGACCTGCTGTGCCTAACTTCTCCAACACGGAACTCCATCAATTCTCCACCGATTGGGACGTTCTTGGTATCGTCAGAATTGTACGAATTAGGACTACTTTTAGATACCAAATTTGTACCGAGTCGTCGCGTGAATGAAAGTCGTTTCCTAATCGTAGAATCAGGTATCCGAGCCGGGTCTGTGCGTGGGCGATTATCCCGCCTACAGTGTCTCAAAGAACGAGGTGAGCATGCTTATCACAACTGATTTCCCTGTACCCCCTCACCCAGTAACAACATCAACAGTTGTCCACCTCCTCCCCCTGCATAATATTCACTGCATGGGTTGACACGATATCGAATGCGTGCTTTTGGTCTGTGTGAAGATGGGATGTGTCAACGGCAATGGATGGTTGGAATGGATCCAGCGTCGCCATCGCTACAACCCCTCCACCACTAGTATTGGCAACCTTGCTTGAAGTGAGTGCATCGACTCTGCCAGAATGTTTCCCAGAGTCTCCACTGATGTTTTCAATGATGTCCACATTTACGAATTTCATCGCATCCTTCCATGATGCGAGTTTCTCGATGATGGGGGAGCATCTGCTTGCCATGTACTTGCTGAATTGAAAATATGTGCTGATTTTGCGCATTCGACAGCGTGTTCACCATGAAGGACTTCGCATGTCCTGCTTCTATCTCTCAGGATCTTCTCCAGGCTGGCTTCGGACCAGTCTGAATCCCCTTTCTCAGCCCCTCCACCCTCCACTTCCTCCACTTCCTCATCACTATGATCCACATCCAGTTTGGAGCCAGAGTAGACACCGTTTGCTTTTTGGTGTGTTGTGGCATCCTTGCAGTCATAATAGAACTGCGCATTTCCAATTATGGCTGGCAGATGACGGTGTGATCCCTCCAGGAAATTTTCATATGCTGATGTCCATGTCTCTCCTTGTGACTTCAACATTGACAGTCCCCTCCAGGGTTTGAGGAGACAGAGCATCGAGGCATGATGGCTGTCAGTGGAATCTAGATCATTGCCCCGAGGGAACCATTTCCCGATAATGTTTGCTATAGTTCGATGCCCAGAAGAACGAATGACCCTAATTTTTGTATCATGGCTTTGGTGCGAGTCCAAGTATTGACTCCTAAAGTTTGCAGGACGACCACATTTCGATGCCATTCCGGAATTATTGTCTGTATGTCCTTTCCTCCTTCTATCTTGACAAGTGTTCATTTCATATGTGTTGGTAATGAATGCCAGTAGCGACATGTCCTCGAGTCTGTGCCCTCGGAGGGAATAATCCTCAAATTGCGATCTCGCAATCAGAGTTCCATTTGGTCTGGTATCAATATTCAAAAGCTCCGTACTTGTCTCATCCTGAGAATTGAGCCGTCATTACAAGATGAACCCTCTCAAATATATGCATTACCTCTATCTCATTCTGTGGTGCTTCAGTGATTGTATCACTAGCTTCCACCGCACCACCAGGGAGCGCTGCCTGTGGGATGCTCCATCCTGCATTATTATTCACTGACTGGTCACCCATCATTCTGATGGTACGTGTTAGATTATTGTATGTTCCCAAACCCTTTGGCAACTCATACCTGGATGATTTTTTTAATGCCGGGTATTCTTGTTCAAGCTGATGTAAGAAAGTTGTCCAGTAAAGCGGTACATAGTGGTGAGATTTGAATGAATCACCCCATCCCATTAGATAACTGATCACTTGTGGTCCGGACTGCTCAACATTGCGATTGAGTGTCATGAAACAACGAAACACCAAGAGACGATTCCTCTCTCGAACACTTTCAATATACTGGCTATCCCCAAGATGATATTGAAGTCTTCAAGCCAGCAATGCGGACAAATTTAACATCTTTGGTTGCACTTTCATCGCATACTTGGTAATATACCAACAGACATTCTTTGTATCCTCGCCGTTTGTCAGTAGCTTGATATCGTGGTTGCAACGAAGGTACACGAGGAGATTCGGATTATAATTGTTCATGAATCCGTAGCTTCGCTGAGGATACCATTCACCATTTTCCTCCACCTTATCCATATCACACAGCGGAAAAGGTGCACATCGCTTGCATCTCCACTCCCCAGTTGTCCAATCCTGACGAAGACACCGATGCTTTTTGCATGAGTGTATTTGGTTAGACCTCATCAGACGTCGTTCTAGGGATCCAAATTTCACATCGAAGTCGGGTTCATCAGGGTGTGGTGGCCAGCAGAATCCCACATCTTTCTTGGGCTCCATCGCTTTGATTCCTTGCTTGTCCAGGCTGGGTAAATGGGTGCGGATATCGACATTAATGTACGTCCTCACTGTTTCATGGAACTCAGGTGACGAGAATTTTGATCGCAGCTCATCAGCACTTGGTGCATTCTGTAGCCACAAAATCATGTGAAGGTGAAGGGTTCCTCGATTCTGCACCTCTACCAACCCAACATAGGCCTCAATCCAACCCAAGATACCGCAAGTCCGGTGGATACTGTTTTCCCTCACATCGATGCCCAACAATGTTTTCAACATTGTGTCGATCATGAAACGGAAGAATTTAGCAGCTGCAAATGGATCCTTGGCAATCGCGTGCTCTCATTCAATTGAATTGCTGATGACTGAATCAAGGGCAAGCATATCGATTTCTTCCCCAATGAACAGCTGTGCAAGTGGATCATGGAGATCATTTGGATTGATCATGAGCCAAATGGTGGGTGGACCTTTTGTGAGCGTTGTGCTCCAAATCTGACTACAAGCGGCGGCCCATGATGAATCTGTTCCCATAATTCGACTAGAGGTAGCTCGGATATGCTTCATCAGACGAGAAACTCGTATGTTAGATATCTGCTCTCCACGAATTTCTTCCTGACTTGCTTCCTGCAGATCCTTGATTGTGAGCTCCGATAACAAGTTGCTATCTGCTCCAAAATCTCTCTGGCCCATTTGTATGCGCACTGAGGACAATGCCTGCCTACACTGCTCAATACCAAATGCGACAAAAGGGAAGGAATGGTGTGTGCGAAATCATCGGGAGTGATGTGAAAGGCAATAGCATATGTGCTCATTGAACCTCACATAAATGAGGCGAGCTTCCTCAATCCCACCTTCACTGTAGGGGAACAAGGTAGGAAAAGCCAATGCCCAAAAGTTGGGCGCAGGCTCTGGCACACCATCATGCTCTCTTCCCGGTCTATACCCAAAATCATTAACAGGCTTCCACCCATGTCGAACTGCATATCCACGCTCTTCTGATAGATTTGCGAGCCCATACATAAGCAGTTCAGACGCTGAAGCTGTGGATATGTCATCTTTAATGCTGCCTAGTTGCTGAATAGGGATTACATCGCCATTTCCTTTCATTGTGATCAGACAGTGGCATAGTTGAAGGTATTCCAATCCATTCTTACCTTGTTGAACCCCATCCCCATCTTGTCCTTCCCCACTACCACTTCCGTCATCACTTGAGTCTTGGTCCCAAATTGGGTCAGAGATCCTCCTTAACTCAGTGGGAAAAGAACATACATGAACCCGGAACACATGCATCACTTTCCTTCTCAAGAATATCCATCTGAGTCTCTTGACGTATGGAAGCAATGATCTCCACTGGCACATTATCCTCGGGTAAGCTTGTGACCACCTCTTCATCAATCACATATCCCAAAAAATATTTGTTGTTTTGAATCAACCATGCTAATGCTTCCAGGACTGCTCGATGGCGAACACAAAACATCAACTTCAGCCAATTTATGGGAAGTTGACCAACTCCAACATAGGTTATCGCGAGAACTGATGCGAGAATGGATGCTGGTCGTGGCATTTTTGCCCCTTTTAGCATCTCGACAACCTCATCTGTATTCATCAGGAAGCTTGTGACATTCCCTCGTAAGCCAGATTGCTCACGCGTTGGGTCTCCAGTAGAACCGCTTTTTGGATGGAGCTTGTAAACAAAGCATTGTGGATAAACTGGTGTGAGGAGGAGCTGCTCCAGCATGGTAAGTTGGCTCAAAACTTCAGGAACAGGGCCGATCCACATCTTGTTCAATAACGTGAAAGGGGGTAGTTTATTTGATGACAGGTGGTGAAGACACTCGCCGCACAAATGGACACTGGCTCCTTTAGTGTTGTTGCACTGAATCCCTTTAGTTTCTAGTAGCATCCCATCCATAAGCACATGCGCTGGATGAGGATTCCATACAGGATGTAAGTGATTTGAATGCGGAATGCTGTCTATGCTGACAATTGTCGATTCCGATTGCCAATGAAGTCGTGTGCATGATGCACACACGACCTCAGCAACAGCATGAGGTGAAAGGGCATCCAAAAATTCGACACAGCGATCGTGTATTTCTTTTGCACTTGGAAGCTGCATGAATCGAGGCTTCGGTACAGCTTTGACTAGTTCCTGAGTTCCAAATGTTGGGCTCTGTTCATCCGAAGTGCCTGGCTTTGCCCTCTTGGTGGTGTCCCCTGTGGTGGATGCTTCTGCTCGTTTTCGCTTACTAGAACCTCTCTTGGTCAGTTTCTTTTGATCTCTTAGCCCCTCGAGCTCCGCTCTCTTGTCACTGTCGACATTCTCCAAGAACTCCACCAACTTCAATCGAGACTTGCATACCGCATTGCTGAGTGTTATGTTTAACGTGAGACATATGGCTTTAATTTCCTCCACAGTCAAGGGAGACAGCCAGTCACCCATCATGACAACAATGACAAGCGGTAAAGGTGTTGAGCATGGTGTGATACCCCAACAAAATCTGCAATAGGTTTGACATGCGTTAAGTGCTTCCTGACAAGGGTCCGCATGTTCCACTACTTCATAAGTGCATTCATTTGGAATCTTATTCAACTTCTCCAGGAATTTTCTGGCAATGCCGGGACCAGAACAGGCACAACAAGACCCGCATTTAAGTGGTCAGAGAACACTGCCCCGCTTTCACTTGCATGCCCCATCAAATTTTTGCCGAATGATTGTTCAATCATCCAGTAAGGTGTCTTGCTCAAATTCTGATTTGACCTCCCCCTCATTATTAACAATAATTTTCAGACTTCAGGTCAGGAAGTTCTCACCCTAACATGCCTGGAACAGAACAAACAAGTGTTTATGCTATAGGATGAACATGTAAGTGGTAATGTACTGAGATTAATGGTTGTCTAGGCTCTTTAGCCATTGATGGAAAAGTCTCTTTGCATCGCCACTTTTCTGTCAACGTTCCAAGTGGGTGGTGAGCACCATCAAATATTTCCACATCATCGGGTACGTCCATCACTGGCATAATTCACTCTTGACCATGCTTCAACTGATTCTCGAAACCTGTCACTCGAAGTTATTAGTTTATTCACCAACACAATCAAGGCACATTTGTGGCACCATCAGGTATGTCACTTACATAATCTCAATCTCCTCTACGACATTGGTCTGCTCTCTTTCATCCCAATTTTGACTAGTTTCCTCCCACCGTACTTTATACCAGTTCCATCACTAGCGCAATTCACTCTTGACAATGCTTTGACTGATTCCTGAAACCTGTCACTCAGAGTTATTGATTTACTTATTGAATTTAGATCACCAACACAATCAAGGCACATTTGTGGCACCATCGGGTATGTCACTTACCTAATCTCCTCTATGATGTTCTCTGACAGGTCCGCTCTCTTTCATCCCAATTTTGACTAGTTTCCTCCCACCGTACTTGATACCAGTTCCGTCACTAGTGCGATTCACTCTTGATGATACTTGGACTGATTCCCAAAACCTGTCATTCACAGTTATTGGTTTATTAGATTTAAATAACCAACACGAACAAGGTACTTTTGTGGCACCATCGGGTCTGTCACTTACAATTTCTTCTATAACGTTCTCTTACAGTTCTTTCATTCCATTGTGACTAGCTTCCTCCCACCATACTTTGTACCACATCCGTCACTAGCGCTATTCACTCTCAAAGATGCTTCGACTGATTCCTCAAAGTTTGTTCCATTATTTCATCCCACTCTTGCTGTAATTCTCATTCAGTCACCTTTTCAATAGCATACATGACAGTGCAAGTACTGCCTCACCAATAATATGGCATGCAAAGGAGTATAATAATGTCGATCCACTAACTTTGCCGCTTTCCCCACCTCTAGTGTGCTTTTGGTGACAATTCTCTTAGCCTTTCTTGATGCCCTCTCTTCCCAACAACAACGAGCTCTGCCAGCATCTTGCTGGTCTATACCTTGGGGACCTGAACATTGCATCTAAAGTTGAATGGACGTATGCAAAGGCTCGCTGCTGCCAAGTTCTCTGTGCTCAGGGCACCAATAAGTCTGCACTAAACCCAATGCCAGTCACCCTCCATGGCATATTCTCTGTTTCCCGACAACCATTCAAGTTAGTCCCAGATGGTGGATTTAAGGAATCGACTTCAATGGGCTATTTTGGCCATATCCCACCTCGAGAGGCAATGGCCAGAACAAATGCCTGGGCGTGACTTGAAAGAATCATGGATGAAGACTTGCTGGGATACGAAGATTTCCCCATATACATCAAGAATCTCAAAGGCTTAGAAAAGCTCATGCTTTCTGGTGCTAATCATCATTACTCCTTAGTCAATGATGAGGGCGTAAGTGGACCTCAGATCAAGGTGATTCATAGAATGTTTGAAGTAAGTCCCATATTTAGTCATATTGCTTTAGTCGCTGAGAAAGCAATCTTATAGTCATGCTGGGATAACATTCGTTTGCCAGCTACTCCTAAGCAGGAGTGGGAGGGTACGTGTAGCTGCCTAAGTCCAACTCACAACTGACTGCGCATGATAGCCAAGTCCAAAATGCGATACAAGCTTACGCCAGGCAATCATGCAGTTGCACTAAGATTGGCTGATTCAAGTAAGTACATAATCCAAACTCAGACAGGCCACAACTCAACAGCCACAATAGACAGTCCTCGGGTCCTTCAGGACGAAAGCGCAGAAACTTTGGGAGACACTGAGAAACCTGAGGTGGAAAAAGAGCCCAGCACAACACCAACAGAGCTGCGCACCCCAGAAAACAAAGGGAAAGGTGGGGAACTTCCATTGATAATGCATTGGCATTTCGTTAAGTAAAAAATTACCAAATGCAGCATTGCCGGAAGACTATGACAATGACGATGGTGATAATGATTCAGGTTCATTCCTTTAATCACCCGCATATGTTCTATGAATGAGCTGATCAGTTTTTACGCTAGTTGAAGTTGATGGCTTCTTGGCTCCCGAATTTGGCTTACAACATTGGCCTGTATCATGGGAAAATGTCCACTTGCGTGACAAGATGTTTGGGGAGCGAAGATGGCAAACCAATCCTTTGCGTGCGTATCATGAAGGAGTTGATGGCATCATCCCACCAACAGACTATGCAAGCACTCTCCCAGGAGCGACTGTGCAGATTTCTTTCACCATTGCCTGCCACTTAATTGGAAGTGAGGCAGGCAAAAAGGTGACATTCTCTGCACGTATAGAGGAGATTATTGTCCTCCAACCCCCGACCCCTCTTGTCAGCACTCGTACCGACAATGGATCTGTTGAAGTGGCATTCCGATGCCCTTTGTCGCCACGGTTATTGTTCCCTTTTATGGGAAGTTTTATTGCTTTAACGCTTTGGCCTTTGTTCCTTTGTGCCACACAGAAATGTATATAAGTGTGCTCCATCATGTACTTTATCTAGTATAACATCTAATGACACTGTGATATCGTGCTCAGAGGATCGGGCTGCAATGCCGCGATAATAACAGGATCCCCCTCCAAGCGCCAGTTCTCAGGTCCATCCTTTTCACCTGTAAAATGCCAAAAGCTCAAGAAATTTGCCCCTGACACCAAGAAAGTCTCCCCTGTGGTCAAGAAAAGCACCCCTGTTGATGTGTTCACCAAAAAGTAATCATCTCTTCATCCACTTATGAGTAGTTTCGCATTTGTCCTTTGATTTCGCATTTGTCTTTTGATTCAACTCACTTCGTGTTATGAATGTCCCCTGAAACGCTGATTCAACTCAGAACTAATATTATATTTTGCTATGCATATGAACATGGCTGTGAAAGACATGATCACTTAAAGTTAGTGCTATGTCATGTGCAAGCAAGGTCATGGTTGCGAAGCAACCTTTCTAGTAGGTGAATTATATTACATACCAACAGCTCCAAAAATATCATCAACACAATTGTTGATTGGACAGATCCTTCCAAAAGGCTGTGATATCTTTGGAGCTATTGGTAATATGAATGACCTACATACAGATGTGTAGAAGTGGCTCAAAGTGGAGGCATACAACATGCGGCACTTGGACGCATATTTGAACCAACCCTGTGAGAAATTTTTGGCCTGAAACATAGCGGTGTAGCGCCTAGAGTACTTACAATAACACTGGAGTTGCTAAAAACCCAAGCGATGTAGGTATAGACACAATGGTGAGCTCAAAATATTAGGAGAAAGGTGGACATCCTACATACCTTGTGCACAGACGCACGATCTACATGATTGCCTGTCATTCCCTTCTTGGTAATTCTCTTCCAGCTGCATCACAGAAGGCTTAAAAGCCAAAACTTTTTCATCTTCATCTCTCTCAATTCGCTTGCTAAAAACTGAGATGAGATATCTTGTTCTTCATTGTCTTGGACAATGACTTAAATATCCTAGCGCTTACACCATGCTGAGCAGATAAAAAAAACAATTTAGTTCGCTTGCTAAGAATTGAGTGCTTACACCGTGCTAGCATTTCTCGCACAAAAATGCAGATATGCAATGTGCGAATTTCACTCCAAACAAGTGAAAAAGTGATGGTGTGGTGCCTAGTGCGTTCACAACAGCACCGGAGTCGTTAAAAATGCAATTGACGTATTTATAGACACATAGCGGTAAGCTCAAAGTCTAGGTCAAGAAAAAATACCACACCCTGTCCCCTACTGTGGACACTGTTCCAGGTGCGGCCATACAGATGTAAGATAGAAGCGAGAAATATAATTTGGGGCAATGTCTGTGCGCATATATATACAGAACGGAATGAATTAAGAGGCATGAGGCAACTCCTGTGCAGACTGCGCGCTCAGTAACATCCGATATCTCCGGTGCCAACAGACTTCCCACAGTAGATCCTGCCAAATGGATGAACCTTCCCAATCGTACAGGAATATAGTTTGGTGGCCCTTCAGAGTCTACCTTTGCTCAGGGTGGAAGAGTACCATGCGTGTCACTTGCCTGCTTCCAGCATTTACTTTCCCTTCCACACTACGTACCATATGCGCACACGACTGGATTCAGACAATGCCCAAATCTTTACATTTCCCTGTCCACTGCTGCAACCTTCCCACCATCAATAATACAGCATTTTCTTGTTCTAAATAGCGCTGTAGCACTTCTCAAGTGCTTTACACGATTCACTCTCAATTCCGATTGATCTATGAAGGCTTAATGCAAAAGTCAGATCTCGCAAACGAAGGCACTTTGCCTGTCCTTTCTTCTGTGCCTCTCCCATGAGATTTCCGGATATGGACCAGTCTCTTCAACATGATCGACAACACACGCACGTGCACCAGGAACAATCGCAGCGCGAGCGACAATGACTGGATATGAGCCTGAGTCTGGGTTCGGAAAGATAGGGGAAAAAAAAATAATGATCACCCTGATCGTTTTGCGTTGACTTCCCCCACGTGAACATCACCAGAATTCAGTTCAGACCTAATTCAGTTTCACTTGTTCTCACGAGTTTCGAGACCGATAATTTTTAATTTCTCAACAAGTTGGCCTTCATCCCCTTGGAAGATATATAGGCCTAGTCTTGAAGGATGGATCCTTTCAGCCTTGCGCTTCCCCTGTATTGTTCAATCACTTCGATTCCATGCCTTCGCGTTGTTTTGTCTGTCGACTGAAAGGAAAGGTGTGTCTCTTTCAATATGTTTATCAGTACATCTTTACCCGGACAAGTATCCTTCCTCATTCTGCTTCAGTGTTTGCTCGCTCTGCAGCCATGGCATTACTCGATTGAGAACGTTCGGCATCAAAGGCGCTAAAGGCGCATTCTTGCATGGCTAATGTTCTACACTGCTGTCGCGGCATGGGGAAGACCAACTCCGTGTGTCATAAGACCAAGTCAGGATGCATCGCGCCTCGGTCTTGTTATATATACGACACACGCCCTATAGCCTCCATCATATCCGATAGTGCAAACGAGTTTCTTACTCAACATCATTTTCACAACTTTGTAGGGATGTGTCCAGCCCTTAGATTGCCAGCCTTGTGACGCATGCCACTGCATGCATGTTGAATGCATCCCCTGCCCGATAAAGATTTCAAATGCGGTCAAAGTACGCGTTCGTCATTGTAGTGAAGGTCCGTATGATAGGCGAAGCACTGAGAATAACTTTGTAGAAATCGACCAGAGCTCGGGAGTGTCTGGAGGAGGTCAGGGCCTTGACTTCAGGCGACCCCACATGTGTTGAGATAGGTACGTCCCTCTTTCTGAATGTTGTCATCCCTTCTCCATTTCACTCTGTTCAATAGCGCTGCTCCCCAGAACGCGAGAGTTCCTTTCATATCTGCAATCAAGCCTTGGAGATACAACAGGTCAGCCTGTGGCTGACGTGAGAATTCCCCCACCATCTGCTATCATTTCGCCGACGTTGCCAACCACAACCCATGGATGGGTAAACCAAGTGGAGACTATTTCAGCCATCGAGGGATCCCCCATCATAGTTCCACTGGCAAACGAACTCGGAAATGTGCCACTTACCAATGCTCCTGCAGCCTTCTACCCACCTTCTACCTTGGGATTATACGAATACGTCGGGAACATCGACCAATCGTCCGTCTTGGATTTTGGTTCAGTCTCCTATCCTGCAGCTAGCTCTTCCACTGGTGAGTTTATTCCCCATTGCCCCGCTTCCCTCCTGGTTCCCGTGCAAGAGAGGGCATCCTGCGGCGAAAATTGGGATTTTCTGATGCCAGACATTGCTGCTAACTATGAGCTTGCGGGACCATCTACTGCGTTCCATTCACAATCAGATGCCTCCCCTCACAAAACTCGTGGTGAGACTCTGGGAAATGCTGCGAGTTGGAACGAGGATGCTGTGAGTTGCCTTAGAAGTCTAGCTTGGAGTATGGGATACTGCCTCATCCCTCGCGGAGCGGCCATTCCCGATGGTGGTGCTCTTGTATAGGGGAATTCGTTTGAGGGTAAGTGCCTTGTGTTTCCCTGCACGACTCAATGATGACATGAATTATTCATGTGGGTAGCGATTCTCTGTACCCTTTCTTGAAACATCATCAATGGTTTGGAAATTTGTAAATTATGTGCTACCTTGAATCTTCGAGTGCTTTTACAGACTCGCGATGAATGTACTTGTTTTCAACCCCTGTGCCTGCATGTTTGCTAATATATCCGACTGACTGCTTGCTCTTAAGGTAGTCAACACACTTCATTTCCCCAGAGCACTTTTCCTACGATGCAGCTCTGCATTCTGCGCGTTCATGTCATTCCCTCATCCTCGCATGCGTTGAAAGTGATTCGAAACGTAGACGGCGCATTCCATCAGAGTTTTCAAAACCAAGCTGCAATACACTCTTGCACTCACACTGTCCGACCTACCGTTTTTTTTCCAAATCTTACCGCTGAACCAACCTGCACTGTCGTATTGCCTTAGCTTCTCTCGATCCCTGATCATGAGTAAACGTCAGACGACTGAACTGGACGTACACCTACTAATATATCAGCCTCTCCAAGCTCATGCCACCGACGCCCACTTCCAATGGCGTCTCACCGGTCCCACCAATTACTATGACAGTGCACTTTGACCGGGCTCGGACCTTACCAATTTAGGCAGCTTCGCGCATCGCGCATGTCACATCTACGGGCACCGGCGCCTGATAGCTCCTCCAGTTGCTGACTTTCCTCTGCCACTAGACTAACACTGCCTGTCCACTCTAGCGACGTGATATATCACGCAATCTTCATCGGCAGCTCTCACTGGCACGGCCTTCTGTGCGCGCCCACCATGGAATGCCTGGTGTCTCTTGCCACATGTCACAGTTCTGTGGGGCAGCATGTAGATACATGGCCTGCAAATTCTCCTTATAGAAACTATACCCGAATGGTATATTCAAGCGGTCGCGCGAGCGGGCGCCACGCTCATGATCGCATGAGCATGTTCGTGATATAGAAACCACTCGTAACATTAGCTTCCTGGCCAACTCGAAAGGCGCGCATGGAGTTGACGGGCCAGCGCTGACTGGTCGCGATGATCACCTAGTTCAAATGCCATGCGATACTGAATTCCGAGCTGCAGTCTTGGTCCCCAACTATTTCGTCGCTCCTATCCTGCGGCGCTGCTCTCCCTCACGTACTGATAACAATGTGTAGTGACCATCACCTTCCGAGCTTTTTATCCAACCCCGATAAATGGCCCTTGCTGCCGATGATGATTTTTTTTTCTGATCTCAGCTCACTTGATCAAGCGCGGACGCATCCTAGATATAGGCACGGAAGATCTCTGATTTAACAGTTTGGATCTATTCTATCATTTGTTATATGGGATGGCGTTGTCTGCGCTTGCGCTTCAGGGCTTGATTAGACTGTCGATAGTAGATCATCGACGTTGGGTAGTACAATTACCCGAGACATCATTAGGCCGCCATCAATTTATACCTGTCCGTAGTGACTTCGTTCACCGTGCTGAGCGGCGCTGTTGCAATTTCGGGATGGGTCCATTACACCTTGAGTCCCATGTCGGTTTACGGGTGGTAGATTGCAAACAAACAACTCTTGATGCGTTCAAATTTCAAGGTACTGGGGTGAAGTCGTACGAGGTGTGGGATGGTTATGCATGGACGAAACACAAGACAGCACTTCGATATATACGACTGGCTGTATTCCGATGAGCCCCGTGGATGCAGCAATGCCTCAAATGGAGGGCGAGTTCCAGCTTAGAAGCCCGCAGAATGCCGCTGCTGCTCAAAAGTAGTGGTAATATGTACAGTACTAGTGGTTGTACTGAGGCTGGGTCGCATCACAGACTTAACCGGTGGACGCCAAGTGCCCGCTGCTCTGCTGCTCCCACAAATCAACCGTGAAAACACGGCAGAATGAAAGCACTTGAATTTCGCATACTAAGTATCCAGCTATCACCTCTCGATGAGATCTTGGTTGACTGGTAGAAGGCCTGTGTAGTGCGGGCCAAAGCCCACCCATAAGCACTCTTCAGAGCAGCGTAAATCGTTATCCGTTGTGTGCCGTCCGATATCGCACAGCATACCAAAGGCACAGTTAGTGAAGGAGCACGGGTGGACCCCAACATGTACACAGATTTCATTGGGTAGTGATGCAAAGACGGCCTTAGATCCAACACAGTGGGGCGGTCATATTAGAGGAATACTGCGGGACGGGAGTGGAAATAGAACTCCGAGTCATTCGGAAACATTCACAGTTTGAGAGTTGATTGTACACACCACCATGAACGCATCCAATCCCTGTTCGCGTTTGGTCGATCACAGATACGAATAGCGAACCCTGACCATAATTCCTCTAATGAACAGTCACACTGTCAGGCCACTGCGAGTTCAGAGTAGGGGAAAGACTGACTGTGGCGGCTATAAGGACAACGCAGTCGCCTCTTCTTTGGATCTCTCACCCTGCGTGTGAGTGCCCAATCCGAAGAAGGCATTTTTCGGGACCCTCCTGGGTGAGCCGGGTTTTATCCCGGAGTCATGCGGCCCACGATGAAGCCCATGACCTTTTAGAGCGTGTTGAGAAGTAGGATTGACCGAGGTATAGATCGCGCCAGTGGTACGGGAAGCTGATTCGTGAATGATCCAACTTTTCACACGTCATCTAGCTATGAGTAGCTCCTCAATCAAAGTGAGGGTTCTACAAATTGGTCGCGCTTCGGTTTGCGAGGGCATCGAGTAGCAAAAGAGCATCTCCAATCGTGAAGTTCCGCCAACAAACAATCTCGGAGGCTTGCCAGTTATTAATGAGGCGCCTCCTGCGGCCCCACCCTCTATGCTGGGATCATCTGGATCTGTCAGAACTGTTGAAGAAGCACCCCTGCTGCATGTCGGCACCCCATATCCCGCCCATATTCCCGCTTCTGGGACAAGCTTCTCCATTGGCAGGACCATTTTCCATAACTTAGCGCCCGCCTTCCATTCAGCGGCTCCCGACCATGAAGTGGTATCCTACAGCGAGAATTGGAATCCTCCGGTGCCAGACAGCTCACATAGCGCCGTTGACTATGGAGATGTGGGACCTATTGCCCTCTATCCACACTTCAATGTCGCTTCGCATGAAACTCGCGATAGAACCTCGGGAAATGGTACAAATTGGGACGGAGGTGCTGTGAGTTTGCTTAGAGATCTGGCTTGGGATATGGGATATTGCCTCATCCCTCGGGGAGCCTGCATCTCCGATGGTGGCAATCTCGCATCGGAGTTCCATTTGGTGGTTTGAGCGTAAGTGTCTTTCTATTTTCTGCATGATCTAGTGACGATGAATTATTGCTGTAAGCCAGCCGATTCTATCCTGTGTTATCAAAGTTAATGGCTTCAGTGTTTGGATATTCTACGCTACGTCCAATCTAATCTTTTGGCTTTCGTGCTTGTGTTAGTCATCCGATTCATTACTTGGTCGAGGGACCTATTGGCGTCACCTGCCTACCTATTGGCTAGCATTGCACTGTCCCTGATCTCCAAAGGCGGTTGTTCTTGAGTCCTGATACGCACCGAATATGATCCAAGTAGTTAACCGATTAAACATACAGTCATTCACGGGCCAATGGTTCACATTTTGTAATTTTGAGACTATGACATTGGATCAAAACCAAATACAAAAATTTTACGACGGATAGTAGCCAGGCTGGGTATGTACATATTACCGAGAAATATAAAGGAATGGATGAAAAATGAACGAGAATAAAAGCAGACAAGGAAATGGTGCTTTCCCGGCTCAATGGTTCAGTGTGACATGGTGTGACAATTAGTTCACACGCCGAACCGATAATTCAGTAATATGGCATGAAGCAAGGGTTTGCAGAATATTTGCTCTACTACTTGAGCTGCTTTTTGCTTGTGAATTCTAAGGGAGTGATTAGTGATACTGGTGAAAGCAGCAGGCACAGAAAGGAATAAATTTGAGATACTGAATTTGGAAACTCGGATGTAAGTATACCTCAGTCTGACAAGTGCTCGTTCACCACAACAAACAAACATGGGCACATGCGCCAGTGGCCTTCTGTTCCTTGGTAACACACCAAGCTGTAGGACACACTGCGGTGTCATAGCCATGTTCCTGGAGAGTGCAAGATGCATAACTTTTGTGTGCACCATTAACTCGTTGAACAACTGCTATTACTCCTTCATTTTATGTCCGATTTGGTCAAATTTTTGCGTAGTCATAGCCATAGTTATAACATACAAGTGTGCACAAAATAAAAAAATCCCGGGGTGAAATAAGGATGTTACATGCAAATGAACCATTGAGGGGTGTGAACCATTGGCACGTGAATGACTGTATTGCCTCGTGCTTCTATGCTTCCGATTCTTGTTCGGCTTTTTCCGTCGTCCATAATGACCAAATCGAGCCAAGTGAGCAATATCTTTGGCCCCGCATTAGCCTGTGTTTTGACCGTGGGTGTCACTACTCGCGTGTCTCAAGTAACAAAAGATTCCATCTCTAGAAGACATCCCAGGCTCCGCTTGTTGGTAAACTATTACTCATCTTGCAGTCCATCAGATAACCCCTAACCTGCACACGTTGGCGCAATTGGAGAACCAGGACTTTTCGCGAGTGCGCTACTAAGAGCTTTGCTAGTACTTGCAAAGTAAACCAGAACCCAGCCCCCCCCCCCCTCGCCGGCCCCAAGCTGCTCAGCTGCTGATGCAATGCAGACCCCCGGATCCCGCTCACCGCCAATAGGCCGATAAGACCATATTCCCTTAAGCCCAAGGAGATCTTCCGTTGGAAGTGCCTCGCAGGTGAGGATATTCCCAAGCTAACGATGTAGAACTCGATACACCCGGCGTGCTCCGCAAGGCCCCCTAGGTCGGTGGGAAGTGGTTGGTCAGATCCTGGTAAATGGGAACAAAACTATGAACATATTTAATGGTGTTCAGGATGCTCACGTGAAGCCGCTGGGCGATTCATACGGAGGACACATTTAGAGATGATACGACAGGCATACTCAGGCCCAGGCTCAGGCTCAGGCTCAGACGTAGTCGCTGACTCAGGTCTGCTTGATCTAGGTCCAAGCAAGTCAGCCTGGTTGAGATCCCCAGACTTCAGGGTCAACTCAACGTACTCCGGATTGCTCAGGCATGTCCAACAACGCCAGCTCGCGCGCCCCTCTCCCCTTGCGACATGTCTCTGTGTAAGAACACTGTCCGGAAACCTTGGCTCAGCACCGTCAACGAATCGAACGCGGTCCAACATCGTGTCCAGGTCCGCAGCGCACCATGAGCCCCAAGCGTTGAAGGAGCGCATCCGTTGAAGGCGCCCGCCACCCAACTTATATACCCCTTGTTCCTTTGTTCTATGCGTCACCAGTTCCTCCACTTCTACCCCTTCAAAGCGTGCCTCCCATTCTCTATAAATAACTTCTAACGAGTAGACGAAATACTGCAGTTTTAACAAAAAGCATCCTTGCAAGTGATGTCGACGATATTGAATGCACGTTCAGTACTGGAGGTAGTGGAATTAATAAAGGATCTTGGCCCATATAATTCGATGCGCGCTGTGAGTGCATGAGATGTGCAAAATAGAAGTGCACTAGGAGTGGAATGACTAACAGGATGTTGGGGGTACAAGGTTGGCTTGTCCTGCTGACGCTAGATTTTCAACTACCCACGAAGAATTCTCTGTCGCAACTTGGCTTGGATGTGCATGCAGTCCACCCAGTTTAGTCGTAGGCTAGCACAGGGGTGCCATATATGTCAGGGGGACTTATTGTAAGGCTGTTCAGCAGAATTACATTATCGTGCGAGATAGATTAGGCAATGATGCGCGGCATTCAGATTGCCCAGCCTTTGAGCTTTACGCCTGAGAAGTAATCTCACCTGATCAACTCACCCCAGTCGCCCATGCGCGCCTACATGATCACGGAATCTATGCAAGTCTCGCAACATCGTACATGGTGAATATTCTGAGCTACAGGTGGATGCTCTATGGGCGTCTTATCAGTTGGGCCTGCTGAATAATGTATTCATCCGCGCGCGCGCGTGCGCGCAGCGCTCAGGCTGCTCTTTCCTTGTTACCCATACAGAATCTATATGTTATCTCGGCCTTAGCTGTATTGTAGGGGAGTTGTCCGATTTATATTGCTATATCGCTTGTCGTTCAGACATTTCGAGACTTGCATGCACAGGCAAGCGCCCGTCAATTAGCGGCCTTCTGGCATAGCCGGCCGCACTGTATTACACTTCCATATCCATATCTATGTGCACAATTGATACGGCTCAAGCACAGCTCTATTCATCCCAGGTGCTAAATAATGCGAGCGCTCGCGTGGGGGGTCAGTGTCCAACCCTGTGCACCAGTCCCCAACACTCGTGAATTCTAATTATCCAACGTAAGAAATGGCCTTAGGACCCCAGCCCCTATAGTAGAATAGTAGATAGCTTTGGGACTGGTCTAGGATATCTAGTATTCTAAAATCCAGCTGGCAATCGGTCAACTGTGGTGGATACGGGAGCTGATGTCGAAAGTGTATGAAAGCACTCGCTATTGCTCTGCTTTGCCTAGTAGCACATTTCACTCGAGTATGATTTCCGCTCTGGTATAGGAAGGAGTGTCCAAGTGTAAGCAGCCTAAACTGCCATGGATTCGCATATGAGCTGTCTATGCGAGACAACATTTCCATGACAGCTCTCCAAGCGTTCCAAAGCAGGGAGCATATCATACGCGTGGGTTGAGCCTGGGGTTGTGAGGCGGCATTATCATAGATAGGCCATTTGGAGAGGGAGAAGCAGCAGGGACCAAAGACTGAAATCCTAGGGAGCGGAGCTCCGTAAAGGATAGTTCTCGCCTGTATCTATGTGAATGTACGGAACTGTGAGCGGGCAGGTTTGTTTGCCTGGCTAATAGTAACACTTTTGCAACGGCTTAAGGTGAGCATGACACCGACATACTGGTCGTTTCAGTCAACAGGCTGGAGGGCTGGGGTTGTCGTGCTGATTCACTGCACCTGAAGAGCCGCTCAAGCTGCCGATGCTCCATGTGACAGGCTAGGCTACAGCCCTTCCAGTGCGCGACATTTAGGACCCAGATGGGGTCGGCAAGTTGCTGCTAGCAGTCAGTTCACGCACTGCTCTGAACCAAGGTATGGTTTCTTACTTGTAGGAAAAGTCCGTTGAAATTTGTGGCGTAGAATAAAGGCGGCTGTTGACATTGAATATAGTTCATATCCCTATCTACGGGTTGTGAATTGAAGTACATGACTGGTCAGAATGAATTGAGCATGAAATGTATGACATGGAGGCAGATGAAAGACAGAAAATAGGTCATACATGCGGTGGTTTTGAATTGTGCTCCGGGCTGGGATCAGTAGAAAACCTTGGAGGATGGATCCCTTACTTCCCCAAGCCCCCCGAACCACCTCGACTCCATGCCTTCGCGCTGTTTTGTCTGTCGACTGAAAGGAAAGGTGTGTTCTTCAAGGTTCTTGTTGTAAACGCGGCGTTCCAAATATGGCAACCCGCTTCAGCGGTTCACTCGCAACCAAGATGTAATATAGAAAGAAATATAACTAAAATACACACGGCGCTCCAGCGCCCATATTTATACTTCCCAACAATATTCCAGGCTCTTCTATGCCCAGCGCTTATGCAGGCGCCTAGTAACCCGTAGAATATTCTCGGATATTCCGGTTCAGTTTCATCATGTGACTCGTATTCCAACAGTTCTTCAATAATCCATCGCATGGACAATTCTCCTTTCACTTTCACCGGGACAACAGTCCTACTTAACTCAGCCTCGCTCATGCTCAACTTGGAGCAACACACGACGGCTTCGCCAGATTGGGCTCGATATGGAAGACGCTAACATCAGCAAAAGTCCGTTATGCTCCGGAGCATCAAGAGTGGCTGGAGCATGTGGGAGACAAAACAGCAGATTGGGCACTCCTGGAGCCAATAGTGTTCTCCTGGGAGGGGGTTCAGGAGCAGCTGGGAGTGGTGAGGAGTATGTAATGTGCCAGGAGCAGTGGGAGGAAAATTTTGGTCTCTAAAAAGTTGAAAAAAAAAATTTCGGGAAAAATCAAAAAAAAAATCAGGAACTATAGTGCCTTTAAAGTGCTTTCAGGACATATAATTATTTGCAAAATTGAGGAAGAAATGATGGAGAAAAATGGAAAATACTTTCGGAGACCCAAGAAATAATGAGAACTGAATTGATGGGAAAGTCTGAAAATTGAATAGGAAAGTGAGGGGAAGCCTTGTAAGCATTGTTATTTTCTGCTGTT